TCTAGGTGCAGCTTTCCTGCCATACTCAGCATGTTCTGTCTCTGAAGCACAGGACAGCTTGTTTGATGTCAGATCACAAGCTACACCTCTACCACCGTATCGAAATGCTTCTGTTTGTGTCGATAACAGAGTGGAAGATCTTCTTCAGCGAATGACTGTAGAAGAAAAGGCCGGTCAGATGTTCCAGAACAGTTTGCAGATGGGAGAGAACTATACTCTCTTCCCTGGCTCTTCTTCATCAAATGGAACAGATGTTGTTGTCGTGGAGAAATTGATGACACACTTCAACTTCGGTGGCTTGGTTGAGGATGCCAAGAAATTTGCTCAATGGCATAATCTTCTTCAACAAAAGGCCCTTGATACACGTCTCGGAATCCCAATCACTTTGACCACTGATCCACGTCACCACTATTCAACGGCACGTGGAGCTACAGTTGGTGCAGGGCAATTCTCTCTATGGCCCGACACCCTTGGGTTTGCAGCTCTTCGAGACTCGGAGCTTGTATATAAATTCGCAGACATTGCTCGTCAAGAGTACATCAGCGTTGGTTTCCGTGGTGCTCTGCATCCACAGGTTGATCTGGCAACTGAGCCTCGATGGGCTCGAATTTATGGAACTTGGGGTGAAGATGCTTACTTGACGAGTGATCTCATCGGTGCCTACATCAAAGGATTCCAGGGAAAGAAAATTGGACGCAGTTCGGTCACGACTGTGACCAAACACTTCCCGGGAGGCGGGCCGATGGAAAACGGCGAAGACTCTCACTTCCCAACCGGCAAGAATGAGACGTATCCAGGGAACAACTTCGACTACCATCTTCTTCCCTTCAAAGCCGCGTTAGCAGCTGGTGCAAGACAGATTATGCCATATTATTCTAGGCCTATCAACACCCAATTTGAAGAGGTTGGATTCAGCTTCAACAGACAGATCGTCACCGAGCTTTTGCGAGGCAAGCTTGGATTTGATGGCATTGTTGTGACCGACTGGGGACTCATCACTGATGGCGAGCTGGGTGGCCTCGACTTCCCAGCCCGTGCGTGGGGGATGGAAGACAAAAGCGAGTTGGAGCGCGCCAAGAAGATTCTTGATGCTGGATGTGATCAATTTGGGGGCGAGACACGCACCGAGTTACTGATCCAGCTCGTCCGTGAGGGTGTTATCCCTGAGTCAAGACTTGATATTTCAGTCAGGAAACTCCTCAAAGAGAAATTCCTACTTGGTCTTTTCGACGATCCTTTCGTCAATCCAGACGACGCGGAAGAAGTGACTGGAAATGTTGAATTCAAGAATCTCGGCAAGGAGATTCAACGCCGTTCATACACCTTACTCAGTAACCGCAATAACATTTTACCCCTCCGTAACTTCGGGGACACGATCAAAGTATATACCGAGGGATTGAATCTCACGCAGCTTCAAGATGAGCGCCTTGTTAGCGTTGACTCGGTCAATGATGCAGATGTCGCACTTCTTCGTCTCGCGTCTCCATATGACCCACGCAATGGCACCTTGGATGCCGTGTTTGGCTTTAGAGGCGGAACCCTCGAATACTCTGACAGTGAAAAAGCCAGGCAAGCGGCTATATACGCTGCTGTTCCAACCATTGTTGACATCTACGTTAACCGTCCTGTTGCTGTCCCTGAGGTGATAGAACAAGCAGCAGCTGTGTTGGCAAGTTTCGGAAGCGCAGACGAGGCATTTATAGATGTTTTGTTCGGCGACGCGAAGCCAGAAGGCAAACTACCTTTTGATCTGCCAAGGTCCAATGCTGCGGTTGAAGCACAAATGGAGGATGTTCCTTTTGACACCGTCAATCCTGTATTCAGATTTGGGCATGGCTTGAGTTACTAATAGTCAGGATGAAGTTGGGATTGTATGTTGTCAAATGGCTACAACGACTTGGTAGCTAGATCCTTCCTTGATTGGATGGCCAATTTTCTTCAGCGTACCTCGGAGACAATGAACATGACGTGCATTTGAAATACGGAGAGCACATGACTTCTAAAATGTCGTTGGTCTCAATACTTTGCTTTGCTCCAGTCAAGCCTTTAGACTTCCCAACCTCGAGGACCTGTTCATCGAAGCCTTTCCCATCTTGCGGTCAGCCGAGATCGTAAGATGCGCAGGGTGTTCTGTTTACTGCAAAACCGCTAGCTATTGAGGTCTCGTGGTTACTGATGAACCTTTTGATATGCTCACGTTCTTTGAGCATGCCTAGGGTCCAGCACTGAGTATTCCGCATTTTAGATCCTACAGTTTAAGAAGTTATGACCACGTTTAAAACTATTGCCTACTACATAACTCCGCCTACGGGTCTGAATAACCCGAGAACCTTCCCCATAGATGAAGGATCTTCGAATCCAGAAAAGATAGTCTAATCAAATTAAGCTTAATACTCATAAGCTAGAACACATCCGAGGCGCCTCGTAGCCCTCTAAATAGCCAACCCCGCACTTTCTCAAGAGGGGGTTCTAGGCAGTCTCCACGCCCCCATGAAGAATGCAACAGCCTCTGGTCGTCTGATATCGTTCTAGGGTGAATTCAACGGTTCCGGTCCAATGAAAGACCATTCAATTGTTTGCTGAATATTGCGAGTTGCAGGGAGTACGCTATTATGCGTCTGAGTCGGAATTGTTCACCCGATGATCAGCAACGTCAGTCCGAGTTGGGACTATTTATACCTATGAAGACGCCTGTAGTATCATTTGAAAATACTACATCACGGTTAAGCCTACTTCCGTTCCTTAAAGTCTCAGAATTTGGCTTGCACTACCGTTTCATTCTTCTTAACATGTCCTCCTCTCATGAAAAAGAACGGCCCGACTTCAGCCACAACGAGGAACTCGAACCCAGTCCAACAAAAGACAAGAATAATAGTACCTTAGATGACACCCAAAAGCCTGAGTATGTTCGAGAATTCACGCATAAGGAGATGAGGCGTATTCGCCGGCGGGCGGATCTTCGCCTCATCCCTGCCTTGGGTCTAATGTACGGCATATCGCTCATGGATCGGAAGAATGTCTCGAATGCAGCTATCGCAGGAATGCTTGATGATCTCAAGCTAAATACTGGATATGGGTATAGCACGATCACGTTGATGTTCTTTGTCTCCTACGTCATCTTTCAGCCAGCTATGACCATCCTTTGTCGCAAGTTTGGACCCAAGGTCTTCCTCTCCAGCATCTGCATTGCCTGGGGCGCCGTTATTATCGGTTTTGGATTTGTCCACGACTGGCGAGTGATGGTCCCTCTCCGTGTTATATTAGGGACGTTCGAAGCTGGATTCTTTCCGGGTGCCGTGTATCTACTGTCCACATGGTATACAAGATGTATGAACCTTCTTACCCACATTGAGACTACCGTTGACTGACTAAATGACCCATAGTCGAGATAGCCAAAAGATACTCTGTTTTCTACTTAACAGGCAGTATTCTGTCTGCATTGTCTGGAATTCTTGCGTATGGGCTAATGCAGCTTGAGGGCCATGGGGGCCTACGAGGTTGGCGATGGTGAGATATTACAAACATTTCGTCTCCATTCTTCTGAGGCATGATTTCTCTCGTTTTATTGGGACTAATTATATTTGCTTTTCGTATATTAGGATTTTTGTCCTTGAGGGAATCTTGACCTGCGCGGTCGGCATTTTTGCTTTTATCGTCCTTGTCAAGTTCCCGGACCAAGAAGTCGATAGCCCATCTCCTTTGTTTCTGAAACAAGAGGAGGCCAAAGCCGTGCTAGAAAAGCTTAATGCGGACCGCGGTGATACCCAGCTCGAACCATTCTCACTTATGTCTTTCCTGAAGCCGGCAAAAGAAATTGAGATTTGGGGGTTCGCACTCCTATTCTTGTAAGGAATATTCTGACTCGATCCCCTCTTCGATTCTAGTCGCTTCTCTGCCTCTATTTTGACAAACACTGAAGCTAATGATACTCAATTAATTTATAGCCTGACAACCACAGTCTCGTACTCCTTTGCCTTCTTTCTCCCTATTGTGTTGAGACAGAACCTCAAGTTTAGCGTAGCTGCATCGCAGTGTCTTGGATCGCCACCATATGTCTTCTCCGCTTTCGTTATGTATGCAGGGTCGTGGGCAGGCGATCGGTATAAGAAGCGAGCACTTATCATATATGTGAATTCGCTCGTCAGCCTCATCGGTCTGCCCATCATGGCATTTCATCCTAGCGCTGCAGTAAAGTATTTTGGCATTTTCATTGCTGTTGCTGGAGTGAATGCCAATATCCCCGCAATCATGGCCTACCAGGTTCGTCTAATACGCTGCCCGCTGCAGTTCGTCAATCATGCTGATTTCTTGCTTCCATCATCCAAACAGGCAAATAACATTCGAGGGCAATGGAAGCGTGCGTTTTGCTCCGCTACTCTTACAGCATTTGGTGGAATTGGAGGTATTTCTGGAAGTCTCGTGTTCAGAAGCCAAGATTCTCCCCTCTACCGGCCTGGTATCATTGCTTGTCTTGTGTAAGCCGCATTTCCAGTGCACTGACAGCTGAAGCATTGCCGTCTCTTCTATCCACGACATATCTCAGTTACTGTTGATCGAACTAACTCTCTCTGCAGTTCTATTGCGCTTGGTGTTGTTTTGACAGTATTACTCACCCTGCTATTCCTATATCGAAATAGGAAAGCAGACCGTGGCGAATACGTTATCAACGACAGCTCAGAATTCCGATACACAATCTGAAACAATTCAGATCCTCAAGCAGTTTTGCGGTGAGAGCCAAGGGCGGTAGTACAAATACACTCACCTTTGAAAGTTGGCTTAGTTTCTGTGTGCTATTTGTCTTTCGCCAAATGCCAAAAGACTATGTATGTCCTAACGGAGGAGAATACTACTAGCAAGTTTGACATCAACTGTTGTCTCATTACTATAGATAGAAGGAGCCTTTAGGCCGATTGATGACTATATAGTTTGTATGGCATACAAAGACTATACTTTGTCTCATCACTCGCATTGATTTCACTCCATCGGCAAATCAACTCGATTTAATCATAGGGCCCAAAAAGGGAAACATAGTCCCGGACCAGCTTACTATATGCTTTTGCCAGTCCCCAACGTTGCCCTATGCGTTCGAGGTGTGTCTCAATCTCATTGGCTTTTGTGCGATAAGTTTCATCCCCGCTTTCCAACCACAGCCAGAGGAGGGTAACGGCAGAGACATATATCGCATCCAGTGAAAATGGAGAAAATGTGCTGAGCAGAGTCGAGATATCCTTCGGAGGGAGATCATAGATATGTTGTTGCATCTCGCAGGCCCTGGCATGAAACTTGTTGCTTGCCTGCTCGATGATTTCCACAGCTCGCCCAAGCACGCTGGCCTCCACAGGATTCTTTGCGCCTCCTTCCATGTGGTAGTTAGACTCGGGGGATACAGTTTCTGGACAAGCTAACCTGTTGAGAACTAGAAATAATGCCGAGTTTGCGAGGTTTCTTGCACCAAGCGAGGTGAATGCGATACTGTTCTCGGTCTCCTTCTCTTCGATAAGTGAACAGAAGCGTTCCAAATCTTCTGAAAAGGACATGATCTCTGCAACCGCGTCAGCATCCAAGTCGCCTCTGATCTTCGTATAATCGCGGGCGCGGTCGATATACAACGCGGCCTGGCAGAGGCGAGCGAATGCAGACTGATGGATGCGATAATCGGTGGAAATGACATGGCCAATACCACCTTTTTTAGGGTCCCCAAAGTTCTGGTTTCCCCGATCGCGTTGAACCTCTTAGTTAGCCTTAGAACGGTCATGGGCTATATTTCTAGACTGATCACTCACCCAAGAATCGTCATCTCCTGGAAGTCGCCCTTCGCCTGTCGGGCGTGGCAAGGCATATGAGCGCTCGTTTCCAGTCACAGATAGCCGGTCTAAGGCAAAAAGAGCCCACCAAGTTCTTCTGCGCTCCTCAATCTCCGTCCAGCTTGTCTAGGAAAAAACATTTCTCTCGTCAGTATCTTCTTAGCTCTAATTTAGAATCTAGGAGCGTCGTTGATGGCATACCACTTTTCTCAACACACTATATGCCTCAGTAGAGCTGTTAACGCCAAGAAGCTCCGCATATCGCGCACATGCTCCAATAGACATCCATGCGGCTGGATAGATTGCATGTATATGTTCAAAGAGAGCTACAAGAATACTGGCTTGTAGTCCAAGCAGAGTCATCAAGCCTCCCCTTTCAAGTGTGAAAAGAAAATTCTTGCAGATCGTGTAGAGCGAGTTCTCTTGGGTCTCTTTTAAATCAGATATGCATGGCTTCATTGCGAGGAATAACATAGCTAGATCAGGCCCTGGATTCTGGGTTGGTATTCCGAGATCCATTCTCTTTTTGGAGATGAACGGTAGCCAGACATGAATCGTGTTGAAATACTCAGTTGCCGTCTCTATTACCATGTTTTCCTGGCATAAATAACGCAAAACATCCTGATTTTCTTATCAGCTTCAGTATGCGAGAGGCTTTGTACAGAGCCCGTAAGAAATGGTAGAGAAAAGAGACAGTTCATACTGGAGGTATAGTAATGTGAGGTTTCGATAGCTTCAAGTTGGCTCTTTGGAAGTATTCGAAGTCTAAGAACAACGAAACTGGCATGTTTCCTAGATGGTTGCCGGATATCGTTGAATCACTGGTGGAACTGCCATTGAACCCTGGAGATATCATACCGAAGCTGGAACTGCTAGTGCTACCCGTCAACCACTGAGATCCCTCACTGCCAGTCCGATCGCTTTCAAGAGACTCATCCTCGTCATATCGATCTCTCTGGAGAGGAGACCGAGAAAGAAGCTGGGATTCGAGATGCTGCAGCCTGGCACGCATCGCCTCGAGAGCGGCGGTACCTTCAGGAACGCGTTCGTAACTACAGACTCGCCCCACCCGCGTACAGAGGCTGCAACTAGGGAGCGTTTTATCGCATCGTCTTTTCCTGGACTTGCAATCCCGACAACTTCGATCAGCATACGGTGTAGCCATTTTCCAATTGAGCATTAATCACAAGAGCACAACCAAAAGTAAACATGGAAATGGTGAGAAATTAACTCCATAACCACTGGCCTTCACGTGATGATTACTAATGCCGTGTGTAAAGAGACGAAAAGACTCCCGTATTTCTAGGACTCGCTGTAGTCCACATCACACCGTGATAGTTGACTTTCTTGACAATATCCCAAATATGTCTTCACTGTTCAACATTCCAGAATTTGTGATAAACCATATGCACCAGGTTTGGAATTCTCAACACCGAATACACCGTTACCAAAGATCTCGCTCAGTCGTTGACAGGTTCAGCAATCCCCTTACGGCCTATTATATAGGATTTGAAGTTTGATACATATTAGCCTGTTTTCTCTTTCTGTGCCAAGATCCTGCCTTGCGGCTGGCGGCCGGTGCATGTAAATACAACATCCCCCGTCTAGCTTCAGAAAAGGCCATGACAACTTGGCATTTGGACTGGTGTGTCTCGAGCCCGCCGTAGCGCCTTTTCTACCAGAGACAAAAATGACAGGGCATAAGTGTTTAGTTGTTAAAGTATTTGATTGAGAGTCATTTGATAACATGAAGGTAGACAAAAGAGAATGTTGAGTCATGGTCACTTACCCTACACTGTTTATCCCAACTCTGTCTTACAGATAGAATATTAACACCTGTCTCTTCTCTTATCATCTAGTCTTTTCCATGCTCCCATTCTGAAAAGGCAAGTCTTTTAATTGATTTATAATTTAGTAAACATAATTTTGAGCAGATAAATCTCATTGAATCTGTAAGTCTAATTATATCAAGATGTTGAGTTATCCCTCACCCACACGCGTGAACAAATCTGTGCTTCAATACGAAGTTAGAAGATGATAAAGTTGCCTAAAGGCATGTAGTGTCAAGATGTTAACACTAATACTCGAGAGGTAAATATCGAATGTGATAGTACCAGAAATTAAATCATCAATCGTCACGAGGATATTGAACACCCCCCCAGGGACGTGTTAGTTGTTGATGGCTCATGGTTCCATCTAGTAGGTCAGTTCGAGGTAGGTAGTGACAAATCTGTATGATTTATTGAAATAAGTCACGTTTGTTGTATGGAGGAACAATAATCTTAAATGCTACTCCCTTAACGGATGATTTCTGGCTCACGGAGTGGATGGATTCATATCAATAAGTATTTACATGATGACGCCAATATTATTCTTTATTCATTTCGGTCTAGCATTATTCTATACAATCTGCAGCTCGCAAATAGGAAGCTCGTCTCTTCATGCTTTATTTCTTGCCCTTCTTGCCTGCAGCCTTCTTGGGAGCAGCCTTCTTCGCCGCAGCCTTCTTAGGAGCGGCCTTCTTAGGAGCGGCCTTCTTGGGGGCAGCCTTCTTGGGGGCAGCCTTCTTCTTGGGAGCGGCCTTCTTCTTAGGCTCAGCCTTCTTCTTGGAGGGCGAGAGGGTCTTCTTCGTGTTGGCAATAGCCATGGCAGTGTTGGTAGTGGAGAGAACACGATCAAAAGTCTTTCCCTTGTGCTTGCTGTTGGCGACCTTGCTGGCCACCTTCTTGACGCTGTTCTTGGCCTTCACGCCAGCAGTAACCGCCTTCTTAAGCGTCTTGGACCCGGGAAGGACATTCTTGATTTTGGAGATGCCCTTGAAAGCTTTGGGCACTGCCTTGAGGGCGCTGAGGATGCCGGCTCGGGTCTCAAGGTCGATGCTCTCGTCAAACATGGCTCGGACGACGAGGTCGAGGTCCATGTCCTGGTCGTGCAGAGCTCGGGCGACAAGTTCGGCATTGGACTCATCTTCATACAGGGCTCGGGCGAGAAGGTCGAGGCTCACGGAGTCGAGAGGTCCGCTGGCATCACGAACTTCGATGTCGGCCATGGCAGGGTAAGGAGCTGCCGCAGCTCGCTCAGCAAGGCCGAGCAAGACAACAGCGGGAACAGAAAGTTGCTTGAAGGAGACCATTTTGAATAAAGATTATAATAGACGAGATGGGAAAATGTATTGACCAGCAATAATGTTATAAAAAGGGCAAAAGAGAAGCGAAAGAGACCAGCTCTGGATGAATATTGGTGTTTTGGCGGTTTTTGATCGAGTGATGTCGAGCAAAGATCTCCCTTATAGGAGGAGCATCGCCTCAATATATAGGGACCTAGCAGAATGTTCATAGCGTTGGATATTAAGGTTGTGTGCTATTCATAAGCACTTACTCTTGGCTTCTCAAAACCCCATGCTCGGACGGTCGCCTGGCAGGTGGCATTGTGGAGGCCAGCCGGTCTGCCAGAGACTGGGCTGACAACTTAAGTTGCCGTAGGATCGCACTTTGGGGCACACCTTGTACGTCAAAGGCAGTCTCCGAGATGTTTCGAGTATCAAAACGTGCACCTCCTGCCTGTAGCGACCTAGTGGCGAAGACCCCTGCTGCTGTCGTCCGGGATGATGCCAAAGGGTGGCCATGCCATGATTACCTGGGATTCTCGCGACAGTCGCGATGCCCTGCGACAGATCTACTGACTAACTTGATGAGTAAAATCCCTCGCTCAGCCCTACGTGGTTCTCGCCAGAAAACCAGTTTTTGTCCTGATCACCAACGGCATCACCCAACGAACCAACTTGAACTTAATCTGAACCAAAGCCGCGATCAAGACTACCATGCCGTGCTCATGCGCGCTGCAGGGTCAGCGAGAGACCAACAGTGGCAAGCTGCATGCTAAAGAAGGGTACTTTGGGAACCAACTGCATAACAACCCTCATCAACATCCCGTAAATAGCTGAAAAGTGGAGAGAAGGTCAAGGTGACGGCAACTCGAGCTCCGTGTGTGGTTGTTTTTTTTCAACCTTACAAATGCGCCTTTCCCTCCGCTGAAATTAGGCCCAAGGTTCTTCCTGTCTGTTGGTTGCAGCTTAATCAATCTTACACAATCTCCTGCATGGCGCCACACCTGATTCCAGCCCCGGCTTGACGTGGATGGTGAGGACTTATTTTTAACCCGCTTCAGCTGCAAGCTGGGCATTGCTAGCCCTGAAAACGCATCTTGATCAGCATGACGGCTTCGTCTTAGCTTGGCGGTGCTTGCCTCATTTGATTCTCCTTGGCTCAAACCGGGCTCATCCTGCGCTCCCACCAAGCGGCACATGTCGGCGACTTCCACAATGAGATGGCTTTCCAGGGATCACCTCAAAGTTGGTTTAATTCCAGCAGGCACCGATGGGAATGTTTTGCAGCCATCAATTAATGCCATCTCTCCGTCGGAAGGCCAAAGATCTACTTGGCTCTTGGCGAAATCTCACGCTAATCCAGTGCTTACTATCAGAGCAACACGATAGGAGTCACTGATCAATGATCAATTTTGCTAGGTGTGATTCTTGCTTTGTGAAGATATCATTTATAGATTAATGTGATTGTGAATGTTTAGTCGAAGAGCATGGTTGATATATTGACATCTCAACTCGCAAGCTTTAGGAGCCTTATGTCGTGGAATTCCAGGCATAATGGCCTGCGAAGGCCGCTATGCATCCGCCCCGATTGAGACCGCAAGTGGAAATGCAACCCCTAAATTGCACCTTTAATGAAACCTAGAAAATTGATTCAATCCGATGATGATGGCTGACCCTGACCCACAAACTTACGAGAGAATGGAGGCTGGCGGTGGATAAGAGGCCTTGCCGACATCCCCTGAACCTGGCCTTCAATCGCGTACTGTTTATTTAATCAAAATCACGCACCGCAGGGAAATCCATACTTGATCAAAGGATACATAATGGTGCTCTTAGATACAGTCCCTACATCTTCTTTCATACACCCGCTTCCTTGAAGTATCCCGGAAAGGTACCTTCGAGGCCAACTATCCAGGATATTGGAATAATAGCAAGTGCTCAGGCATGTCTCAAGATTTTGCTTATGCTTTCAGCGTATATTCTAATTTGTATTTGATGCAGCCGCTGCAAGCTAATTCGATAATACATGGCTACCTAGTTAATTACTGCATCAATTTACCGTGCTTTGGACCTTTTGCCTCCCTCTTGATCTGAGTTTCTCCCCCCTTAGATGAAGTAGTAGAATAGTAAGAACTCCAAACACCCCTAGCAGAATACCTAACAGACTGATACCCCAACCATATCCCATTGAAGAATATAGCTCCGGGGCAAAAATAGGGAATGCGAAGCCAAGAACATAAGTCCCGACACGACTCGCCGCATTTGCACTCGCCGACTGTGTGTTGCTGAACTCATCGAGGAGGTAGGCCAGCAAGCCCTGCGAGAACATGAAGCTCCCGCATGTAAACACCCCAGCCCCTATATCTACAACAACCCAATGGGTGACCCTCTCTGCTGCCCATGCGTAGCAGAATAAGCCTGCCACTCCAGGGACAATCCCGAAAAGCATGTATGGGACTCGGTACTCTGGCGTGGGTTCTGTATCTGGTCGTCTTGTTTTCATGCGGCGCCAAATAAGATCCATCAAGGGCCCTCCTGCTTGAGCGCATGCGAACGCCCCCATCGCAATGGCGATGTAGTGTAAACTAGCGGCAGTTGAAGATTGGTGATAGGCCTGCTGGAAAAGCTGGGCAAATGTAGAAAGCACAAGGGTGTAAACGCCAAAGGCAAGTGCCATTCCGAAGGCGATGATCTGTATTGAAGGATGAAGGATCAACAACTTAAATGGGATACGCAATGCAGGACCCAATCGGGAGGGGATCATATCCCAGGTTTTATGAAGACTTGTCTTCCAGTCTTTAGACGATTTAGAGGTTTCATCAAGCGTGGCCTCTAGTTTCCGCCGGAGAAGGACTGGAGCATATGATTCATGAATCACGAAATATCCAATGACCAAGCCTGCCATATCAAAGATACTGAGTATCCAAAACAGCCATGGCCACCAGAGATGCTGGGAAGCAACCCCGCCGATAATAGGACCAAGCGCAGGCCCAAGGTAAGGAAGTAGGCCAGCAATGGCCACGGCTTTGCCTCTATCTTTGGCCTGGTACATGTCGGCAAGTACTGGGCCCGTAAGCTGCAGTCAACCGGGTTAGACTCTCAATTATTACTCATTTGTTGTTATGCTCAGGAAACTTACGGTTATACCCACGCTTGCACCAGATCCAGACAGAAGTCTGCCTATGATCATCAATGCTGGCGAGTATCCGACCGGACACATTGCGTTCCAAAAGACGTAGAAGATGTTCCCAGCCAACCATACTGGTTTCCGACCAAATACCTCGGCCAAGGGAGCCACAACAAAAGGGGCGAACCCGAGGCCGAGAAAGAAAACAGAAAATGCGATTTGGCCAGTTGAAGGACCGAGGCCCACGTCGTCGAGGATTTGATCGAGGGCGGGAACAATCATGCTAGCTGACATGGTTGTGACAAGCTGGCTCACGGAGCAGACGATTCCAACAGCGATTTTACGAGATTCTGGCCAATTGTATGGATTGTTAGGGTCGCCGGGCCCATCCCATGTAATCTAAACGGCAAATGAAGTTAAACAGGCTGTGGCTAGGACAGACGGCTCACGACATTTGATAGGGCACGCCAGTTTTTGCTTTGGCTATTTTCTTACATTTTCCAGAGCCTCGGAATTGCTCCCGGCTTCGATGTCGCTTTTCGAGGCTGCCTTGGTCATTTTCGGTAGCGATTTGTCACATTTGAGGTTTCTCGAATTTTATGAGACGAATCCGAGGGAAAAGAGATCTTGAATAATCAGGTTCTTAAACTGCGGGTGCTAAGAGGTTAAAATTTTGAATGTGCGAGCGCCGAGATGTAACTTCCGAGAGCCATTGCTTCGCACATGACCTCCGAGCAACTCTTGATCCTCACATCCCTGTACTTCGATTAGAAATGATCAAAAATGGCAGGCCAGATTACTTACCTATAATTTTAAAAACTAGACCCTACTTATCAACCAATATGAACCCTAAGACGGGATAGTATGGGCAATAATGTGTTCATCATCCTGGCAACAGGCCGTATACAAGGGTGTCGGCTTCGGCTTCGGCCTTCGGAGAGAACCCTCGTCGTACTAACGAGATGAAATCTACACAAGATGTCCTAACTCTCTATGGTGGAAGTCCGAGAGGAAAATATCCCCAGTCAGATGTAAGCATTTATCTCTGTTGCCATGATATACACCTCATTCGTATCTCTGCCACTATCTCCTTGTGAGACATTCCTGAAGAAATGACGGCATAGAGAAGCCATACCTACATCAAACCCCAAGAGTTAAGGTCATATTTCGATCCTCGAACGTTAGAGTGCTCTGTAGCCCCAATATTCTCAAATGCTCAAAACCCCGTTATCTGCAACCTGCTGCTTGTAGCCATTGTTCAATGCCAACAAGTGCTCTGCGAGGAAGGTTCTTGTAACGCTTCTCGTTATATGTCTCCTCAATAGATCTGCGTAGTCTCTTTGCTCTGCTAACGGGAATGATTCCCGCCCCTGCTGGCTTGGTTCTCTCAATGAAAAGGTCTGCGTCTTTCTCCAACATCAGCCGCTTCTTGCGTAAAGCCGGACTATCCTGGGCCTCGACAGTACACAGTCTGCAACTGCAATGGAAACCCCAGGCCAGATGTAGCGCTTTCATTCTCGAGTCGTAATCACTCGTCTCGTCGTAGCTGTGCATGATTTCCTCGCCAGCCAAGATCTTGCGGGTTGCGCGAATAACCATCAGGTCGCCCACCAACTCCTTCTTTGCATTCCCTATACACGAGTGATTTATGTACGAGGCCCTGATCCAAAGCCCCGTACTGGCGTTGCGATGATCTTCATCCTCCGACTGCTGACCGATACCAAATGCGTTACGCTGGACAATATCATGGATCTGGAAGGTATCGATCACAGGAAATCCATCTCTCTCACAGGGTTTCTTGCCAAGGCCCTCGTAGTCGCCAAAGAGATCCAAAACTTTCTCTATTTGAGATGGATTCTTCATGAGCTTTTGGACCACTGCTTGATGTAAACCTGCAGGGAAGACTCGAATAGCTGCATCGTCTCGTACGTCGGATGTCAAAGCAGAGAAAGCCTCATCCTCATTGCCCCAGACAACGCAAAATGCTTTCTCACACATGATAATGTCATTAGGCTCAATGTCCTCTGTTGCGAATAGGCCTTTCCCACACACAGAGCTCCTTTTCACCTTTGTACGTCTAACGAAGTCCGCAGCATCTAGCCGTCTTTTGGTTTTCGAGAGGCTCCGCAAGGCTTTGTCCTTGTCATGTACCCCATCACTCATCTCGTGCTCCCGCACTTCAATCCTTTCAAGATATGTACTGGCAATTTTGTTACCGGGAAGAAGCCTCAACTGTTCGTTGAAGTAGTCTTTGGCATCCCGGAAATTGCTCAGACGGTACGCAGCAGTACCGGCGCGGAAGTATGCCTTCGCGTCAAGGTCCTTCTGAGACCCATCCTCACCACGAGTGAGTGATTCCAAAGCATCAGCTATTGCGTTATCATAGCATTCAAGTATTAGATTGACGTGTGAGCGGTTTCGATATAGATCGTGCTTCAGGGAGGAGCTGGAGTCGTCGCCCTGCATCATCAGCACGCGCAGGCCCTCGGTGTAATGCGCCAGTGCCATTGCGTAATTTTTGTCGTAGATAGCAGTGTTCCCCAGCTCTTTGCACTCCACAGGAGTACAGTCTCTTTGCAATCCCTCGGTCCGATCTCTACGCCTCCATGACTCGGGGTCATTATTGTGTGTTGAGATGACCAGATCAGAAGGATGGTCGATACGGATGGTACGTTGGCCATGGTTGTTGAGGGTATAGTACGGCTCTTTGACCAGGAATTCAAACCCTAGATTCAACGTATTTTGGCCATTTTGAGACGTGTGTAGGAAAACCTCCAGGCGCTCCACCTCGTTCTGGGAATCTCCTTGGAAAACCGCCCAGGACGAGCTTTTCATCTCGACCACGGGAGACACCCTGCGGAGAGAAAGCACATACCCTCGGTGATGTGTTTCCATACAGAGATCGCTCAGTTTCATGGGAACTAGGTCCTGCAGTTTGGCGGTACTTGGCAAGTAGGGGGTACCAATGCCGTAGGCTACAATAGTGTCCTGGCTCTGCTTGGATGCTGCCCCCAATCCAAAAGCAGCGGAAGAGAGGTCCTGTAAAAGAGATGCCGATGTTGCTTCCTGGATTAGTGATATGGGATCATGAGTTGTCCATTTCTGGCCTCTTTGATCCCGCCGCTTGCGCAGGAGATCCCGGACCGTCGTTTGCACTCGGCCAGATTCTTCTGGGGTCATGAAAACTGTCGTGTTCGCAGCCATCGGTCTTTTTGTCGGAAAATTCCCCTTGCTCTAGAAATAGACTGAGTAACACGAAAGTGGGATTCGTGTAAGCCTTTTGGTAACGTAGTTCAGAGACAATCTTTCGAACTCAAGGATCAAGAATTGTCATGTTTTGGTTGGAGCTCGCTCACACAATGATATTGTAGAATGAAGAGTAGTCTTATATTCGTCTTTGTTCCCAACGGATTCACTACGAGACACCCCATGTCCCCTCTATTCGTCGGACTTGTTCTTATCTTTTACTCAAAGAGGAGAAGCTGTAAAGCTTATGTCCGACTTGTAAGCAAACTGTCGCTTGCATGTAGAGCTATGTTACGGAACTCAAGCGTGCTTCAACTTGTTGATCCACCTACATTTAAATCCGAGATGAGTAGCGCGGGCATTTGAGTCATCATCCGGGGGTTATTGGGCATTCGTTTGCTTGATTACTTTCTCAATTCCGTTTAGGATTCAACTCCTGACGCATTGCTCCAGCAAGTGGGTGGTTAGTCAGACAGCGATGCAGTCTTCGGGGAATGACTCAACGGCTAGAACGGCATATGCCAGTGTAAATATTCCTTCTACTGATATCAGAATCTCTGAATATTCATAGGACTAAAGGGAAAATAAGAAATTAGCCCGGGGTCGCGATTGGACTTAGCGTTCAACGGCCGGCGAGACGTTTTGGGCAATGCTGTCATCGATTATTCCCGCATGTGGACACAGAATACTACCCAAACCTAGTGGCCAGTGTCTAATAACACATTGGTTCTCTTAAGTAGTGATTATGCCGAAAAGCAGATTATGCCCAGCTTCTTCGTTGCGCGTTTACTTCTCACTGACGCTTTTTATTCGAGAGGGAAGACGCTCTTCTGATTCGCATAAAAAAACATAGAAAAAATTAAGATTGAATCAAAGTGGGTTTTGTTCCATCGCTAACTATCCCTAGCCATATCTATGAATGACTGAGGAAGGTTTAACTAATGAGTTCTCCATCTATAACATGCTAACTTTGATATCCTTCGCCTCGCAGAAGGCTTTGATCTTCTCAGCATGCTCATTCCAGTCGTCGAGATCGCCGCCCCAGACATCCTGCTTCTCGATGACGACTTTGATTGTTTTCAAATCCGGCAACTCCTTTCGTCGCTCGCCGAGGTCAGCAAACAGACACTCCATCACAACGTAGTCTTCTTGGGTTGCTGGAACATGCAACACGAATGTGCTCAGTTTATGAGGGGCAATATTTATCAACGAGGGTGTCTCAATGTCATCTTCGTCCGTTGGCTCGCGAGCGAAGTTGTCGACGACAGCCCTGCTATGAATAAAGAGCTTGGTGTCCAGTTTGAGGTAAGTAAGTACCTCAAAGCCTTGTAAACCCATTAGATCTCCTTCCGGGAGAAATATGCGCCCGTGGTCAGGGCCAAGATTGTTGGCTAAGAGGCTAAGGCTTTGAAGGGTCTTGCCAAGAATCATCAGGCTGGAGAGAAATTTCTAAATTTATCCATGAGTAAGTACCCAGTCTCAAATCTGGTGTAGAAAGCCGACTTGGGCCAGATCTGCTTCAGTTTTGTAGGGAGAATACATACCTCAGGTTCCCAGTCATAGCTAAAGACAACAATAGTTAGTAGATATCAAATTGGTGATGAGAAAAGATATTCATACCCAATTTCATCTTTCATGTTGTATTCCACGTCAAGCACTTTCAATTTATGCATATGCTTGAAAAATGCTCCGCATGCTTCGTCACTGATCACGACATCTTGAAAAACAGCAGTTTCTAGATTCCTACCGAGCACTTGGTATTTGCCTTGGGCTTGGAAATCAAGTACCGGAATTGAAGATACCCCCTTACGGTTCTTCTTATTCGTTAGAAGATACCCAACCTGATTGCACACCCCTGAGTCGTGGTGAACCTCACGCAAAGAACTAGAAAAGGCAGAAATTGCATGTTAACCAATGACACTCCGCTGTCACAGCTGCTATTCCCTCAGGGGGGTATCTGATCGACACTCGCATCACTTACTCAAGAGCTAAAAATGGTGCGATTGTAACGATATTCGTACCGAACTGGGTGTCAACATTCTTGGTGGGATGCAGGCTGTGGAGTTTTCGCAAAGGCTGGTCTCCCACGACTTTCTCGATGTCATTTGCACGAGTGACCAGTAGATTGATGAGGTCTTGGACGCCTTTTTGAACATCGTTAACAGGCTCCCAGTCGTCCGGTAGACTGAACACTGAGCTGGGCCGCCATTGTTTTGGGAGCGCAAGAGACTCAAGATTGGGAAGCAGGCTGAGCAGAAACACAAGCTACCGCGTCCAAATCAATCGTAAGGGGAGGAGCGAACTTCTAGACTCGGGGTAGCAACGAACCGGGTAATCCACTAGTTCATCATACTCGTCCCTATCAGCAACAATATTGTCGAACCAGACATCAGTGTCCAAACCCAGCATCGCGAGGTGACGCGAATTTTTAACAAGGGCCTTTAAGTTGTCCTGTTCTTTCTCCAGGCGCTGCAGAACAACACCCCGGTCATTGTCAGAACCTTGTCGAATCGCATCAGTACAGACCCGGTCGCCGAAGTCACCGTGAACGATATAGTGGGCGATGAATGGGTTCGCTGCAATATCCAACAAGAGCTCTGTCACCGTCTCAGTGATGCCCTCCGTCTCCGGCTGATTATACGATTCGGTGAAATGAAAGCGCCGGTACTTTTGTCGCAAAGCATTGTGATGAGGCAGAAGCGGGAGCGCGGCCGCATGAAGTTGCTTGCATGTGAGGGCGAGAGACTCGAGATCATAAGGAAGTGCACGCTCCATGATCATGAGTTGCAGCTCACCTGGCAGATTGACAAGAGTGGCGGGAGAAGACATAGTACCGGTAGCAGGCTGAGACATTCTGAGCAGATGTGAGCCGCGAAGATTGCAAAAAGTCACAGTGAATACAGGAACAGCGACGTGAGATGTTTTTAATGTCCGTGAATTCATCCCTCATGCTGGGGTTAGATTTTGTCGGTGTGAAACCTGTCCGTCACCTGAAGGATTTTAATGAGCTTGGCATCAACTGTTTGGCACCAGTCTAAAAGTGGACTCGCTTAGTATGGAATATTGGAAGGCTGGATGCTTATTAAAGCAAACTGCAATGGGTTCCAAAAGAGTTCACGGAACCACCAAGTGCGTTACCCTAAGCCAACTACATTTTCTCTACACCTAATTTTTTATGACTCTTCCCCTATCCGTCTCAATAAAGCCATTCTCCGAGTGTGAATTCCTTGTATGAGATCAGTGGGATTTGAGCATGAGAGCTTGTAACTATCACAACTCTGACTTTGCTTTACGTATGTCTGACCCTAAACAATAAGATTTAGACAGTTCAGTGTTCCTGAAAATTTTAGTCACGAATATGAGAATAGACTTGTAAGTGACACACTTTATGATTGACTTCAAGGCTTTTAACTAGTCTAGTTGCTGGAGTTTGTCTAACTTGGCCTTATGCGTCTGATGTAATAAGGGATCTCTTGTCCACAATCCACCTTTAGCATACGCTAAACCAACAGCGCCATATGCAATTCCGAGGCAAATCACAAATGTCCAAGAACCAAATATTAGTTGAACAAATGTTAGAAGAGCAGGCCAGAAAGCCAAGTCACCCTGAGTGGCGGTGATGCTGTAAAATGTTCTGAGAACAGTGAGGCCGCCGTGGCGGATAGCCGCGATCGAGTTAAGAGCTAGTAGAAGAGCCCAAATCTGTGTATGCAAATTTTAATACTTTGGAAAGTCCAAGGGAAAACTGTGCATGATGGCTGGGGCTTAACATACGCGCGTATGGGGCACCTCTCTGGACTGGGATGCCGTGTAGATGAGGGTTCCAATGGAGAAAATGCAAAGAGTAGCATGAAGGGATAGTGCGGTGACTTGCATCGGCAGAAATGCAGCTTTAATACCGGAATAGTATAGCTCTGTGCAAACTACGTCGCCCACGTTGATAACCAAGGCGACTAGAAATGCGGCGACGCCGGCAATGTGCGGTGCGCGTGAAGCTTCCTCGAAAAACCCGCTCACTTGTTGTTCACGCCATAGGATAGAGATGCGACGTAGCCCTATAGAAAACTCGAGCTGGGCAACGAGAAGAGTGGCGTAGGCACCGTACATGAGGAGATTGGTGAGGATTGAGAACTGCTGGATACCGAGGTCGTAGGCTAAAGTATCGCCGTGTGTTGGACGCGCCCGCCTGATCAGATATTCAGCCACCGGGCTCACGATAGCGAGAATCAGCCACCTGAAGAGAAGAAACGTGGTCAGCAGAGAGGCACGGCGGGTAAGAGACTGGCGTGTAGGCCCTACAGCGAACCGAGACCGCCAGCGGCCTTGAGCCAGGGAACGCCAATCCGAGCATCGTCTCCTAGCTGATGGGTTTTAAAAAAGGCGATAATAGCGAGAACGACGGTCGCGATTGCGGCCGCAATGGTGAAGCCTAGAATGGCTGCTGCGCCGCCCGCGGCAACATACGCCTCGGCGCTAAGCGTGCCATACTGCATTGCGCGAGTGTGAAGGAATTAAGTGTATTTGACCCCGGTCCTCGAATGGGATTAGCTAACCTTTCTTCTGGCGTCGCGGCCAGAGGAAAGAAGCCATGAATGAACCTGAACCGTAGGTCGTCAGCTGTCGATTGAAGCAACGGGCGAGAAGAAGCATCAAGTACTTGTTTCCTGCCAAGTTTATCCCCAAGCCCATCAAGGCTGTGCATGCTCAATACTGGAATAGATGTAACATACCAGGTACAAGGGAAGCCTCGAATGAGGATGGGGTTAAAAATAGAGCAGACCAGGAATCTGTAACACGGACAGTGAGCTGTCGATATATCACTTGCCGTTCCAGGCAATCTTTCGACTCAGTGGGTAATGATGAGACGTTAGTTGAGCCAAATCGAGCGACCCCGGCACAATCAACTCACTTTCTCCTCGAAATACAGCTAAGAATTAGAGCTAAATATCATTTGCATCATGCGCGTCCTCTCACAGAGTTGGAGTTGCGTGTAAGGCGACCACGTTTTTCCAAATACAAAATGAGGGGGCCTCAATCACAACAACCTCATTGAGGGAGTGAATGTCATCAATGAGCAAGAGGGGGGCTCTTAGCGTTGTAACGTGGAGACCGGCAGTGGGACAACTTCCAGGCTTTACCAGGGTTTAGATCACGAGAGGGTTCCAAGCACTGTAACCTAGTCTGCAAGAAGCTTGCCGACTTAGCCCAAGACCCCAGAGAGCTCTGCTAGATTTAACACGGGGTGAGGCCACTTCCGTTTCAGGATGTACGGATACGTACACTTTTACTAAAACCGCGAACTGCGGCTGGGGCTGGGACGAACCAAGATCGAAGCAAGGGATACTGCAAGCTCAGCCATTCATTTGCTAACCGCGGCATGTCTCTTCGAGGCTTGGTGGTTGGATATTCCACCGGATCCTTTGATACATTCACAATGCTAGCTTGTTTTTATTGAATGAACCGACTACGGATTTTTGGCCTGGGCCCTGGTCCTGAGCAACGGTATTTTGACTTCACAGTGCCCAGGGCTCATGCTCACATGCAGGCCTTGGCCCACCGTCATCTCGATGGCTTAGGTAGGCTTGCGTTTGATCCATCGTGATGTTGTTGGTGAGATTAATGATGAGGTTCCCTCTAACTCCTCTTCCAGGTCGGCTCTCCTACTCTTGGCGTCTTTGGCCGACGTAATGATTCATTGGATACAACATGTATTTCAGAATCCCAGTGTTGAGAAAGGCATATTTAGAATTGGGAAGGAAGATATTCTAAGTTAAACATTCTAACTAATTGAATCTGCTAGGCAATAATATTGGAGTGCAAACTATCCTTCAAGCTAATATGCTCTTGAAGCAGTTCTCACTATGTGAAAGACTCCGATATCAACTGGATGCGGTCTTCTTGGCAGCGATCCTTTTGCTTCGGCGCCGATACTCAGATGCCCTTCGGCAAGCGATACATTGTCCGTCCTCATCAAAATAATGTTCGTCCAGGTCCTGCTCGCAAAGGTCGTGCTCTTCGTCATTGTCGCATGCATAGCAGGAGACGCCCCGGTAGGTACAATCCCGGAGACAAATAGTATAAGACGACCAAGCATCGAACAGACGGGCGTCTGACCCAGGAGTTTCCCATCCATACATCATCTTTGCGATCTCCTCGGGGGGTTTGTCACTTAAATCCATGAGGCGGTAAGGTTGGTCTCTGACGCAGAGGAGCCGTCTGTCGATTGGCTTTGACTTTTCATTCCCGGTCCAGTCTACGAAGACCCAACCCTCTTTGTCTTTCTCCAAGCAGCTATCGGTATCCACCCCTTCGCACCAGCTTTCGGTGACCATTTGGGGGGTTACGTCAAGATCGAAACGTACTTGAAGCAAGCCTCGTTCCACCACATCTTCCCAGGATAGTCGATCTGCTTCAACGACAATGATCCAGCTTCGATATCTGTCTTTGTAGTCACCCTCTCTCCAAAACGCGTCTGATGGGCACCAAGATGGTATGATATGCGGTAGTGGCTCTCTGCCCCTAATCTCGTTGAGCAGCTTCTCATTTGCAGCCTCCTCCGAGAGGCCCGCGACTGCATCTCGCCTCATGTTCTCAATAGCTGCTTTCCGAAATTTCTTTTCTTTTCTATGGTGTTCGATGCATTCCTCGACAGTTTTAAAACCTGCATACGCGTCAACCCGGGGCCAGTAATTTGAGGCATTCGCCCAACCCTCGATGCCTGCGCAATGTATAAATTTCTCAGCAAAGGCCTCAATTTCAGAATCTGTACGCTCCCCCAGAAGATAGAGTTGGATTCCCAACTTTTGAACTGATCTGCCAGACGTCGCGAAGGGGCAGAGGACCGTATACGCCCGACCAGCATGATCGTGAAACTGTCGAGGAAGGTTCCTCCTTGCCTTTGATGATAACTGCTTTCTAGGGGCCCTGCCACCCGTGAATTTTCTAGCAGTTTGTTTTGTTCGTACCATATTTGAGTTTGGGAAAGAATTTAAGAGGGCAAAATCAAGAGTGGTGGTGCTGATCTGGATGATGTGATGCTGGGCGTTCTTCTTCTTCACGCCACAACCTCCGTGCGTGAAAAATAGCATCCCTTGATTGCTGACAACGCACTCGCTGTGGGACGGACGAGGGTTGCGGTTTTCGCCCGGATTGTCGGCCACTGCCTTTTGGAGCTGGATCATACTTGGACTCAACTAACCGGGAATAATTGACGAGGTTGGTCCTCCATTCTCTTAGCGTGAGAATCAACTGATAGGTACCTCGGCATTTTGACCCATGGGTTGGCTTCCTTTGTCCCACTAATTTGGTGACGACTTATGACAGTGAAGGGCAAGAACTGGGAGAAGTTTGACTGAGCAGGACTAGCCCCTGTGAAGCGACTAGAAGTCTTGTTTTTTCCTTACTAGTCTGAGAAGAATAAATAGATAAACCCTTTCAAGATTGATGCAAGAGTGGACTAAATGCTGCTTCCGCAGGTAGAGATGCTGAGTGTGTTTATCTCTTTACCGGTCCTGGCAGGATTTTCTTATTGATGCTTCGCGGTCTCTGATGAAGCGGCTTATACAGGATTTACTGCACGAAAGACCTAGATAGTCCAGTCTCAGGCATCACAAGCATGGAAAATTATACTTAGAGTCGAGTAGAAGTCGATAGTCGGGAACTTGTCAGATCCCCAATGTAGCCATAGTATTCCTTAACAAAGGTAGTTAAATGTCTTCCTTTCTTTTATTCCCACGAAGATGCCGCATATCAATGGGTTGTGTTAAGAAAGAGTAGCTTTGCATACCAATGAGGAAGCTATCTGGTTTTGGTCTGTAATGCCGGGATTGACAAAAGGCGGGAAAGAAATATCTTGGCGTCGTATTCGTCGTGAAACGGAATCTCACCCACCCATTTCCGTAATACGTCACGAGGTTGACATACTTTCTTATTAATATTTCCATCCCCGCATTCTTACTTTGCGGATGAGCGCTAATTTGTTTCAAGTTGCGATCCGGCCAAGATGGAGGTAGAAATACATCCTCCATCGTATTCGCTCAGCGCTCAAAAGAAACGATATCGGTTCACTCACCGTGGCACCGGCCCTAGTTTTGACTTCACTCCCGAATCTCCTGAACTTGTCGGCTACACATTCGACGTTGGCTCGCATAATCATGGTACGAAACGTACTTCGTATTTATACCAAGATCCCCGACACATTCTAGCCTCCGCGACTCGAAGAGGGAATTCTTGCAACTACAAGATTTACCTAGGCAATGCGATCGACGACTTTGATGACGAGATGGCTTGGGATGAGATGCGGACCGATTGCCCAAATACGATATGGTCGATGACTTCCGCCTACGACGGCCAGACAAAGGCGTACTTCATGTGGAAAAGGACAACAACAGTTGCTGTGGACGGAATAAAGAAGCCTTCACGACTATCCCGCCGTAACTGGATATTGGTAGACCACAACGACCAGCGCGAGGTCCTCGCCGTCTATACGGAGAATGTTGGTTTCTCGACTTCAGGGACGTTGCAGATTAATGTCAATTGGGGAACCGATTTTGAATGCTTTTTATTGCTATCGCTTGGATGTATGTATCCTAAATCGGGTATGCCAACATCTAATGCCATCTCAAAAGGTGGTGCGTACACGGCGCAGGGGTGATGGCTTGTTATTATTGTCGTTTGGGACGAACAATCGGCCATGCATTCAGATATTGAATGGGACAGAAAGAAAGGATTTTCTGCTTAATTTAGTTATTTACAAAGACATAAAATCAAAACTCGCCATCATTCTGTATTCGCGCATGATAGAAAACCAAACAGAGCTACCAAAGGATCCTTCAAACAAGTCAATTTTAGCCATATTAGACTCATCTTGGGTTCTTCCATCGCCTGCATCCCTAAACTGTTTTAAGTTGAAGCAGAGCAACCCAAACACAAACGGTAATATGAAATAGCCTGAACGCGAGTTTGATATGCAACCGCAAGTGTCCCGTCAGTGCCAGCCATCGCCTCATATTGGGAGGAGGTGCACGACGCCGCCTGCATGTGCAGAGCCAACAACAAGTTAATAAGTAACATCGAACATGAAGAAATCTTCGCCCTAGATCGATTACAAAATATAGTGAAAGCTGAATTCGTAGATTCAATGGTTACTTCTTCGGATAAATCGTCCGTTTTGCCAACTTTGGCCTCTTCTTCACCACTACCCGTACTATCAAAGAATGTATTTGTTGACGGTGTCTTCATGAAGCGGTACCCAAATTTTAGGCAAACGTAACTAAAACTGCTAGACCTTTGATTTTTGGATCAGCTTTCCTACTTCAGCCAAGGATGTGTGATCGCCCTTAAATGTCCCAAACGAAGAAGGCCACTGAAGTTGAACAAAGTCGGGCGCCTTGTCCTCAGCTGTGTACATGATCCTATTCCTCATACACCATGTCGCCCCCGCCATCTGATTATCAGAAGACGTGTTCGACCAAATAAGGGCGAGTAGTTTCTCCTTTGCAGTTCTCGTGTCGCTTGAGACGCCAGGTACAATTGAACGCAAGCAATCGCCATCCTGGATAATGATGAATTCTAGACAGTCTATTGTATCATTCAGGTCTCCGATCGTCTTCTGTTGCGATGGTATGGTGTCAAGCATTTCATGGATGAGCTTGCTCGCATTTGAGCGTATGGTGGACACAGCAATATCTGATGATCCGATGACGGCCATCAAAGCTCTCATGCGACCCATGAGACAAGTTTGTCGTACGTAAACATAGGTCTGTGCTGATGGTTCGTTCCGCAAAGGCTGGAGCTCTAACATGAGTTCAATGAGCGTCAAAACTCTCGCGTCTTTTGTCACCTCGTTGAGAGCAAACCCCAGAATGGTATTGGGGTCTTCTTGTGGTCTCAAGTGAGGTGAATAATACATGCCCAGGTCACGGTAGATACGATCCCCGGCGCCTAAAAGGACCCGGATATATTCTTTTCTGAGCTCCATGGGTTTACCATGTTTGCCCAGAACTTCCATCAGCGGTGTTCGGAACTTGTACATGTGACGACAGCTAGCGCCAGCGTCCAGAAGTTCCTTGACGAGAAGAGGGTCAACATTTTGAACAATGGCGCGGTTGATGATGCCTCCCAGATAGCCTTGGATGCTTCTCGAACCGGTCTGAAGGTTCAATAATTTTAGAACGAGGTCAAAAGGTGTAGGAATCTGCACCGAGAGGCGTGGCACAGGAAGATAAATAACGTCGTGCTTTTGCAGCACAGCCTCGCACCCATCCATATCCAAGACATATTCAATGAGCTTCGCCTCGCTGCGTTTGGAAACGGACCGCCAAATCCCAATGACATCGTCCTCGCCGAAAACAGCGTTGGGGCATCGCGCCCGAAGTGTCTCAAAGGCAGTGACATCTCCATCGGCCAAGAACTTCTCCAAGGGAGTCGTATACTTTGAATCCCCCGTCGCAGTGCCACGGACAGGCTTCGCACCGCGCTGGAGTAGCAACTCGGCGATTGGTTCCACCTCTGGTCTGTCCTTGTTGTGGACATAGAGTGACCATAAAGGTGGTTCATGGTTCGCAGTATCATAGTGTGAAGCGGCCCCGGAATCTAAAAGCATAGTTACTACGCCGAGAATGGATCTTTGGTGTGGATTTTCTATGGCCATCAGAAGTGGCGGAGAATCTCCCCATTCCTCTTCATTTGCGTTTGCGCCAGCAAGTAACAGGCGATGAACAGCTCTGGGGTTTGCGGAATGAGCGGCGTGGGCGAGGGCAGTGGTGCCCAAGAAGCTTTCATTGAATTCGAGGCGCGAATTGAGGCGCGAATTTATGAGAACATCCAATAAAACCGAGCCGTGCATATCTTGCATGTGCGACTTGTATTCATTGATCTGCCAAGCAAACCATGGCCGTACATCCCATGGAGACTCGCATAAAAGATTGATCAAAGGGAGATTGTCAGGATCTCTGGGTAAATGAAGGTTCGCTCCAAACGCGATCAAGTGACAGGCATCTTCAAACCTATGGTCCTGAATGGATGAGTATAGCATAGTCTGATGGACTAGATTTTCCTCTTCATCTTGACCTCCAGGATTGTGCCGCGCCATGGAGGAGAGGTTGTCTGTAACAACAACATTGATGTCTGCGCCATGATTCAACATGGCCTGGAACGAATCCCAGTGACGGTAGAGATACGCATAAACGAGGGGGCTCTGGCATGCAGCGTCTAGAACGTCAATCCTGGAATGATAGCCTCGTGTCTGTATCAACCATTCTACCATACTTGTCTGCCCTGACATGCACGCAACATGTAGAGGGGTCAATCCTGTGCGAATAAGATCCGTCCCTCCCTGTGGTTGGTCCATATATTCAGAGGCGCCCGCAGATAGAAGCAATTCTGCAACCCGGACTTGGCCAGAGCAGATGGCGAGATGCAGTGGCGTCCACATGGGGATTTGCAAGCCGCAAGTGGCTGCGGTTCTTGGCCCCAGTATTTGAGGCTGGACCTCGCAATCACATAAGCCTAGACAGCCGGTATCCAGGCGAGGATTCTCCCTCAAGAGGCGTTCTAAGATGGGAATGTTGCCCCTCGCGACGGCAATATGCACCACGGACCAGTGCCAGTCATGGTACTCACCCATGTCGATCTCACCTTCATCCTCGCTCCCCTCTCCCTCTAGAGAACGAGAAAAGGTATGACCGGCCAAGATGTCACTGAAGCTTGGGAATTTGGACGCGCGGCGGGGACTGTGCCAGATGCTGTCAATGTTGATGCCGGCGGCAAGGGCTGACTCAAGCGTCCGCGGCAGATCGTGGACAACCCCCCAAAATAGAGCCCTCTGCTGTGTGTGAGGAGAAGAGGAGGCTGCGCGCCCGTACAGAAGGGGGATAGTCGTATTCCAAAAGTGTTCGTTGACACGTGCGAAGTTGGCCAGGTCAGCCAGTTTGGCAGCCTGGCCCAGAATGAGGAGCCAGATCTCGATGGGGAGAGGGGGCGAGCCCTGCAGGGAAGAAGAACCGGCCATGGCTGGCTAGAGGATAAATAGCGGTAGGGATCTAGTGACGCGGCAGATCTGTCACCAACTTTCGCGTGTGTGTGCGATTTGGATATTTGCCTTGATTCCGCTATTCAGTGAGAGATGGCGGAGGGGAAAATGAATGATGACGCGGTGGTGCGCATGAGAAATCCCCTCTGC